TTGGTTTCATTTCGCGGTTCCTTCCTATATTCAATGTATGCCGCCGAGCTCGATGATTGGGTGGAGTGGTGGAATGACTCCAGGGTGCACTGCACTACTCAATACTGTGGCATAACCATAATAAGTGTATGTACACTGCAGGTTGCGGGCGATTTGCCCCTCTGTCGATGAGAGTGAAACAGATACGTACAGTGAAGCACTGCACTGCCTATCAATAGGATATGTTGTGGATGTGCATCAAATATTTCTGGGTACAGTGAGTATTTCTTCCCCGGCTACGGTCCGTGCGCAGGATTTACCCGCTCCAGGGATCAGGGGTTTGTTTGATGGGGTTGTTTTTCTCGGCTGAGAATGCTTGTGTGTTTGTCTATGTTTTTGTTTGGGTCCTACGTAAACCAGTGCTCTTGGAGAGTACCAAGCAAAGCTGCCGAGCAAGCTAAGGCCATGCAAGCCGGAAAGTAAGCGATTCTTCAGATTTCATCTATCATGCATCATGCAACGATCCTTTAGTCTTCCCACTAGTGTATGCAAGTTTCGTCATCTTTATGCTAGTTTGGGGATATCAAGTACAGAGAAATGCCCGATCAGGGCACCCTGAAAACACCCGATGAAGACCAAGGCGGAGATATTATGTTCATTTCGGGTCACACTGCGTGGTGAGGCAGCAGAGATTTGTGCATGTGTCCGTCTGGCGGAGGTAATGTATCGAATCATTGAAGTATAGTGGTATCATAAAGAGTTCAAAAAGTCGGACTTCTTCCGAAGATCTTGTCTGATGTGAGGTATAAAGAAGATGGGGAGGAGGAGGAGGATGATGGTGGTGGTGGTGAATGATAGAACCATGAACAAGGTCTAGTCGCGTCGCTAGTAACATGCATGAAGCACTCATATGCAAATATGCAGGTATGCAGGAGGGTATGGTGAAGAAGAAAAAGTAAGCAAGGGCCCAACGCTCTAAAAGGCCCCAAACACCCAACGCGCTTGATAATGCAATAGCCAGAAAATGGTGCCATGTATCGAGAAAGTAAATGGTGGTCGTTAGCTTCGTATGCGTGAGTGGTGACACTCTGCTAATTTTGAATAGGGTTTGGCAAATGGTGTGAGGTGCGTGTGGTTGATCTTAACCGGCCCTGGGGGGGTTGCGACTTTTTGACAGTCGTATGCTTCGTCGCAGCGTGGCCTTGGGCTCTTCACTAGGTTCAGTCGGCTGTCGACTAGCGGCTTCTGTAGGAGCGGAAGCTGCCGTTCGGAACTTAATCTTGAGCTTGGGGTCCTTCTTCGAAGCATCGGTGCCGTCGCTGGCTGGCTCCGAGAAGGAATTAGTTTCGGTTTGCTCGGGGGTCGTGCTGCCGGTGGACTGCTTCTTGGGTGCAACTGTGTCAGGACTAACCCGCAGTCGCAGAGAAACAAGATCGTTCTGATCATCTCTGAAGGCAATTCCGACGGTCACATCGGGAAGAATGCGTCGTTTATTCTCCCGAACCCGCGTGCGCCGAACGGCCGGCCGGGGGTTCTCTTCAGCTTCGCTTTCATCCGCGGAGCGTTTGCTGCCCGTACTGAATGGAGATGAAGATCGCGAGGACGGTTGCAGGCGCGACTTCATGATAGCCTTCGAGGTGGGCGCATCTGCTTCGCTACAGTTGGCGTCTTCACCGATCAGGTTGATAAAAGCCCGGTCGATGTTACCACGGCACTGTTGCAGCATGCCTACAATGGTCTCGCGGTCGTATTTGCCCCCGAGACCCTCCTGGATGGCCGAGATTTTCCACGGGGTGGCCACGTCCACGACAGTCGAGCTAGCGGAAGAAGCTTCCTCTTGACGCTCCTTGTCAATGGGTGCTATAGAAGGTGGTCCAGTATGCGGCCCGCTCGTATGTCGGACCGACGAATAATGATGAAAATCCTACGCGGAGGGTTAGAACGTCACCTACGCCATAGTGTTTGTGTTACTTACGTGAAATGCGATGTGCACTTTCTCTCGGTGTTCATCGACGGGCGCGTGAACATCACGGAAGTTCTGGATTCCATACATCGTGTAGACGTCCACATCCCTCTTGAAAGATTGGCAGAATGCCTGGATCTCTTCAGCGCCACCCCAGACGCCTTTCTTTCGCGATTCAGCCACTCTAGTGTCGAAGCTACGCTCCTTATCCCGGGCCGAGAGGGGCGCGGGACTGGCTGATGACGAGGAGCAATAGGTTTGCCTGGCTGCTTTGGCTGCTGCGCGGCGTGGTGCCCTGCGTTCTCCGCCAGCCGCAGCTATGAAGCTCATGAAGTAATCCTTGTTGGCCAAGATGTGATCCGCGAGACGAACACGGATTTGGTCAGCGTGGAGGAAGTCGCCGTACAATTGATCGGAAAGGGCATAGTACAGGCAATTGCCTACAATTGACGGTCAGAAAACAGGGCACACTAGAGTAGGAGCGCCAAGGGACAAGCTAGCTGGCCAATGGCGGGCAAAGAGCAACGTACCGTCGCCCTCGGTCGGGAGCGCATAGAGCCCTAGCTCGTTGAGACACGGAATCTCCAAGCATTCGGCCTCGGCGGCCTTTTGGCGCGTACTTCTAGACGATTTGGAGGGCTTTGGTTGGGGTTGAGGTTGATTGCCCACCGTCTCAACGGCGGGAGTACTGGAATAATGCTGACGGGGGGCCGCGACTATGGGCACAATTCTGCCACCGTTCGGAACGTCCGCCATAGTTGGTTATAGTGTCTGCTCGACGAGATGCACTCATTTGTGGAACGAACAACAAGATACGGAGAGGTTCGTCGAGCAGAGAGAGAGAAAATAAGAGATGAAGAATGTGGGGAGGGGGAGAGAGAGGAGAAAAAATAGTCACTATGAATATAAATGAGAGGGAGAGGGGGAGGGGAGGGGGAAGGGAAGAAAGTGTTATTCAGGCAAGGAATAAAGTAGAGAGTGGTAAATGGGAAGGAAGAAAAGGCGGGAGGAAGAAAAGCAACACACGATCTACGGGAGTACACGCGAGACTTTTCTTTTCGGACGGCGAACTGCGGAGGAGGCGTCTGTTATGCTTGTACGTACATCCCTCTTACCAAGGGTTTTTTTTTATTACGCTCCGGGATCAGAGGCGGTGAGCTAATAATCAGCTCATGATTGGGTCATTCACCGGGGCGGTAGCAGTCGATGACGAAAGGTATACAGAGCTATTACTAGGTGGTTACCGACCTATAGTACCTAACTTACCTCTCCTTCAATCGAGTCTTTTTGCGCATCCGCGGGGAGCGGTCACTCCAGCCCAACATTGAATCGGTCAGAGCCATGCTATTGTTCCAAGCTTCCGGTTGAGAACATATTCACCTCTCTTCAATGAGGGGAAGCCACCTCATTCAGACTGTCTGCCCACTTTCAATGCCCAGAGGCCTGAAAGACCCTATCGGTAACGGGCTCTGCAGATCGGTAATCAATCCTTACACACAGTCCCCTCCCCACAACACTCTCCGAGTCCATCAAATGAGGACGCGTTCCTTACTGTAACTTACCACGTTCGTCCATGGATGGCGCGCTTCATTCATCCTCGAATCCGATCCCACAACCGAATAAGCGTGATGAATTGAGAGTGCACTGACTGCCCTTGATCTAGGATGGAAATCTTGGAGAAAGCACTTAGGCAGTCAAGCACTCAAAACACACCGCCCAATTCACATAAAACGGTTAAACCGCGATCGCCCCCCCGACGCGACTCCGCTATTGGATCCTTCTGCGTTGTTGGTGCATGAAGTGACCTGTCGGACGGTCCATTGGCAAGGACTTGGATGTCTGGAGAAGCAAGGCTGCAGAACACGGACATAACTGCACAACATGGACGTGAGCTGTCAGCGAGTCAATGGCTCCGTTCCTGGGCGTATGGTTGCCAGATCGATGGCAGTAGGTGTCACGCTGCTTCGCTGACCAGATTGACTTCATTGCTTTTCGGCGAAGACGGCTGTCCACTCGGTCCGTGATCGGACTCCAATGGTAGTGCTGCCGATTGATCTAGTGGAGCACGGGGCCATTTTGAATGGACCCTGCCTGTGCTTTTAGCCTTTTGATCGAGTAGTCACATCCTATCTTAAGATGATTGGCAGGAGAAAGACTGTGCTCGCGTTCTGCAATCTTTCTTGAGATATGACGTCAACGCGATTGGGTGCGTGCCGCCTGAAAGATCCCATCGAGACATCTTATCCTATCCTATCCAGTCTTGATGCCTGAGGACGGGGTTGTCGCATTCCGGCTTGGCGGGAAGCCCCCCCAGTCTACGGCAGTCTTACTCTACCTAGTTAGTCCCCGGCTGAGCGGGGGTGGCTCTCTCTTATCAATCCGGACCGCATCCCAATTGCCCGCATGCGATAAGCTCTGTTTGTGCAGGGGAAGCGTTCGTTATCATTCCTTAGTTGACTGACTCACAGCAACTAACTTAAATAATCACCTATTTACCAGCCTACTCTCGTAATCCTCCCTGGGGATACGCCTTCTATTGACTCGATAGACTCACCCCCCCCCCCCAACAGTAGCAGTTTCAATGGCGACAAACAAGATCGTGGTTCTGGGGTATGCTTGACCCCGCCTGTTGTCTGCGGAGCTCATACTGACCTCTGGTCTCAGAGCCGGTGTGTCTGGATTGACCACTGCGTATCTTCTTTCGAAGGACCCCTCGAATAGTATCACCGTTCTCGCGAAGCACATGCCTGGCGACTATGATATAGAATATGCCTCCCCGTGGGCTGGGGCCAATTATCTCCCGTACGTTCCTTCGCAAAGAATAATGATGACAATGGAGTCCAGCGTACTGACTGAACAATTGGCAGTGTGGGCAAGCGTGGAAGTGACCATGAGAGATGGGAGCGCAACACTTGGCCAGCATTGAAGGAGCTGACCGAGAAGCATCCCGAGGCAGGACTTCATTTCCAAGGTATGAACATCACTTATCCCCCTCCCCATCCTGCCATTAGAGTTAACTCGCCTGCAGAAACAATCGTCTACAACCGCACCAAAGACCAAGGATCCGCAACCGGGGACTGGTTCTCCGAGCTGGTGCAAAAGAACCCCTGGTATAAGGATGTTGTGCCGGACGTGTGTACCCTTGAACCCGCCCCGATCCCCGCCAGACAACCAGGCTAACGAACCCGGGCCAGTTCCAAGAGATCCCCGCCGACCAGCTAGCCCCGGGCATCGACAACGCCTCCCAATTCACCTCCGTCTGCATCAACACGGCAATCTACCTCCCCTGGCTAGTGGGCCAATGCCGGCGCAACGGGGTGGTCTTCAAGCGCGGCGTCCTCAAGCACATCAGCGACGCCGCTAACACTCCCCACCACCACACGGGCCACAAGCCCGACGTGGTCGTGAACTGCACGGGGCTCGCGTCCCGCACGCTCGGCGGCGTCCAGGATGCCAAGCTCTACCCGGCGCGCGGGCAGATCGTCGTGGTGCGCAACGACCCGGGCCAGATGGTGTCGATCTCGGGCTCCGACGACGGCGAGGACGAGGTCGTCTACGTGATGACGCGCGCCGCGGGCGGCGGCACCGTCATCGGCGGCTCCTACCAGAAGCACCAGTGGGACCCCCTGCCGGACCCCAACCTGGCCGTGCGCATTATGAAGCGCGCCGTCGCGCTGTGCCCCGCCCTGGTGCGCGACGGCCAGGGCATCGAGGGCCTTGACGTCGTCCGCCACGGCGTCGGCCTGCGGCCCCTCCGCGAGGGCGGGCCCCGCGTCGCCGCCGACCGCATCGACGGCGTCGCCGTCGTCCACAACTACGGTCATGGCGGGTTCGGGTACCAGGCCTCGTTCGGCTGCGCGGAGGAGGCCGTCCGCTTGGTGCAGAGCTCCTTGTCCGGCCGCGCCAAGCTTTAGCTCACTTGTGCGAGTGCTTGCGATGGGCTTTCTGTGTATATACTTGCATATTTGCACGTAGATCCAACATTGAAGCATCTGTCTATTCTTCAAAATCAATGGATCTCGTAGTGAAAGACCATAGATCGTATTCACGAAAGTGCCAAGCTTCCGCTTTTGCCCCGGAACAACATCTGAGAGCGAATAGGCCCGGGGCGGAGGTGGGGTTGAACCGGGGGAAGTTCTTATTTCATGATGACGCCATCATCGTCCGCGGAGAAATCATACGAGCACAATAATCAGTCCCGGTTTCCCCAGACTCACAGTCAGTAAAGACGAATGCTTTGGACCAAAACAATTTGTCCACTTAGCATTGTTGCGCTATCACGCACGTTCCTCTCTACTTCTAATTAAACGAGATTCTCTTTCTATTGTTTCCGCTCACTGAATATCTAGGGTTTAGACCGCCGAAATGAAGTACAAATCCCCGCAGGTGGAGGACTATCCCGAAACCGAGGACGGCACGCCCACCATCCCCCCGAAGCGCAAACTCGATCAGAGGGATCTCGGTGATGAGTTGGGTACTGGACAGGCTAGCGCTGAAGCCGAGCGGGAGCGTGACCAGCCGCCTAGCAAGTTTGTCAAGAAAGATGCGGGGACAGGGGATGATGCTGAGGAGCAGGTAATTCAGGATGTGGCGGAAGAGGAGGATGAGGGGTATGATGGGCAGGTTGAGAGTATTGATGATGAGGAGGATGAGGATGGTGCTTTGGAGCAGGATGATGGAGGTGATGAACAAGAAGAAGAAGAAGAGGAGGAGGGGGAAGAGGAGAAGGATATTGATCAAGAAGAGGATAGATCAGAAGAGCCCACTCCCGAAGAACCACAAAGCCCTACAACGATCAGCAAGCCGAAGCTGCAAAAAGCGGTCCAAGACTACGGGCGTCTCCCGCTCTTCGGGACAACAATTGCGGAAGGAACCCTGCATGGCTCACCAGAGACGCTACTCGCGATGGTCATCGATGCGATGCTCAAGTCGCGTCCGATCTCCCATGACCTTTCGCAGCGCGCAGTCAACCATCTCATTGAGGTTGGGTTCCATGATATCCGCAAGCTGAGCGAAAGTAGTTGGGAGGAGCGGGCGATGGCCCTGAAGGATGGTGGCTACAATCGGTATCGAGAGCAAGGGGCGACGAATTTGGGGAAAATGGTGGAGTTGATCAATGATAAGTATGGTATGTTTTGCGCTCCTCGAGTCGCATCTGGGTGATGATTTTGGCCTGAGCTAAGCTAAAGGCACATTAGAGGGTGATCTCAACAACCTACTGAAGAAAGCGAACAATGACCGGAAGAAGACCCGGCAGCTCATCAAGGAGATCAAGGGTCTCGGGGATCTAGGGGCGGATCTCTTCCTCAACAATGTCCAGAGCGTCTGGCCCTCGATGGCCCCGTTCCTGGACGGGCGCAGTCTGGAGACAGCTGATAAGGTCGGACTGGGCACGGACTTGGAGGCGATCTATGCGGAGCTGGGGCGCGACTGTGTGAGTATGAGCCGGCTGGCTAACGGACTGTCTGCTGTCAGGCTTGAGAGGAAGCAGGGTGATCTCATGGCGTCGTAAAGATCTACTGTACTGTACTGTGCTGTGCTTGCACGATTTGTGCACACGTCCACTGGGCGAGGTGTATGGCTTGACATGCTTTGAGTTTTGCAGGTGTATTAGAAACCCGGGTCTGTCATGTATCACAGATACTGTGACTTCAGCGTTGTACAGCGCGTGCGGCCATTATTCAGTTATCAGATATTTGTCGCATGGGATCTGAAAACGCCCTATCATCTCACAAAGCGGATATCATGGCAACCTAGCGTGAGGTATGACGTCGACGGCTGTAGCGACGCCCGACTGTCTTGAACCCATGATAGTGGGAGTCTTTTAGGCATTGAGTAGTGACAAGCAGATGTGCATGCAAGCCTCATTAAAGAAATGATATTCTTGCCAACATGAGCCACTATTCACATATGAAAATAGCTGGTAGCTGATTTCTGACAACCAAACATAGCCTGGTTGCAATCTCGCGTGGATGCGATCAGATCCGGCGATTGCTGAGTCATGGGTAAGGTTGGCCTTGGCGGACCCGCAGCTTGCGACAGCGCGACAACTCGAAAGAGCTTAAGCCTCAACCATCTCTCCGATCTCCCTTCCGCACTCTCCGTCTCCTTCATTTCCTTCCTGCTGCCTGCTCAGGACTCTTAGCTCCAAAGGTGAGTCTGAGTTTCCCTTGATATTGCTGGCTGCGGGTTGGAGTCAAGCTCACTGAGTCGACTATCTTTCATCTAGCCACTCAGGTATGACTGATAGGCGACAACAGCTCGTCTCCGCCGCTGCCAGGTTCACCTAAGCGTTGAATTCCAACTAACGTGATTGCTTGATAGACACTCTTCCCTCTTCCCGATCCTACTCGGCTGCTTCTGCCACTAGAACGAAAGCTTCACCACCATCGAGTATATACGCAGTTGCGTCGACCTAATCGCGAAAATGGATCTCTCCAACATCTTGTACGTCGGACCCGTTTCCAGACTCCATCATCGTCATCATCGCAAGCACAGCAGCTAACGAGACTCTTACACCCAGCCGAATCGTCAACATCGTCGTCGGTGTGCTCATGGTCCTGGGTGGTATTTCCCAGTTCTTCCCTGCGTCCATGAGCTCCATCATTGTCGGCGTCTATGTGATTATCTTTGGTCTTCGTAAGTTTCATACTATCACCACCATGCAATAGGGCGAGACTAACCGCGATGCCCAGTTGTTGGTGGATTGGAATTCCTGCCGAACGTCCCCGACTACGTCTACCGCTACGCGTCTTTCCTTTTCTCCTTCCTGGGACGTGGTGGCTGTAAGTTTGCGCTGCGTTGGAGATAGAATCTTTGTATGTGTTTGCGCTAACATCGGGAATCAGTCTACATCTTCGTCGGGTCGATCATGTTGCACGACAACGTCCTGCGCTATATTGCGGGCTCCATCGTCGGCTTCATCGGTCTGGGATACATTGCCCTGGAGTTCATTCCCTCCATCGAGCCTCCGTCCAACATGCGCGAGACCGACCAGGGTTGGGGCGCTGAGCAGGTCTAAGCATGGTGCGCGCGTTGCAGGAACAGTCGGGCGATGTGGCCTCGTGTGATCTCTGCACACGTGCTCGGACAAAGGTTGGTGCTACTCAAATCTGCAGCCGCTGCCCTTGTCACCACGAACGGGCAAGCGTCGGGGCTATGTCAGTCCAGCCTGTTCGGAGTATGACCGTGTACGGCCGGCGGTAAAGTGATAAATCTATCTTTATCCCTCTTATTTGAATGCTTGATGATCGAATGAGTTGCGACGAATTGAATATGGGTATGCGAACGGTTGCGGAAGTTGGGGGTGGGTGGAACAGGCTCAGTGAGCGCAGCGGTCTTATGGACCAAAGCCACACTGTGCCGATAACTCTAGATATATGGTATTTTCTTCCCAGCCCTCAGTGGGTGTCAGATATGTGTGTACTGTACTGTACCTGGGTATCTTTTTTAGGTTTGGGGTTCGGTGATTTATACCAGCATGGAGAGGACTTTTTCTTTCTTTTTCTTTTTCATTCGGTTCCTCATTATGGCTGTCAATACCATCAGCCTTGCAGCTTATGTAAATGAACCAGCTCTTTAGACGGTTCTTGGTCGAGGTCTGAGCGCTGGCACTATAACCGGCTATAACTATCATGGATTGTTTGCTTTCTTGGTTCCAGGTCCCCTCATGTGATGATGGCATCTCTCCCTAGGAAGACTCAGGAGTCCTATTCGGACAAGGACCCCGGCAGATCCGAGACACCATTTGAGCTGATTTTCCGCCTCTCGAGATGAGGGGTTATTGCGCCTACCCCGGATGTTTGCTGTAGCCAGCCATGGTAGGCCGGATCGTCTGATGCAGTCAAAATCTTTCGATAGAAGTACTCATTGGATTTGGTATCCGGGTATCCGGACTCCGCCGAACTTGTTGCTCATACTCCGGACTTTGTCGCCGGGGGCGATGAAGCTAGCTTGGAAGGTACTGTAAGAGTATTGTCCGCAGCAAACCAGGTCCGTCATAGGCCATGTGCTTTTCGAGTAAGCTGGACATGCCCCAGAAGTCGTGGATATGACTCATGTCAACAGGAGCGCATAAAAGGCATGCTCATAGGTGTGCATTACTAACCTATACCGAATCCCTTTCTTTGGCCAATAGGCCTCGCACTCAGTGTTCTAGAATACCATGCCGATCACAATGAGTTGTCCATTGGCAAGGGTACTTTTGTCCGGAGATTAGCTGAGCTAATCATCTTACATACGGAGGCAGAAAGTCGGTCTGGCAGATCGATTGTGATAATCAATCTCACGGCCCCTTTCACAGACCACGTATCCGAACATTGTTACACATCAACCGTAACACGTCCTGCGTTTGCAAAATACTGCGGCGAAACAGCCCATGATCTACCCTGTTGCTACCCTGCTGCCTTGATGGGCTCGACCTATCTTTTTTGCCTAGAACCGGGAATGATCGGGCACTGGCTGCATGGTGATTGATGGCTCGATTTCAACCGATCACTCCGCCTTTTACCCTGACTGACTTAGTAGAAAACAATCCAACGCCCATCAAAACTCTCGACAAGTTCTCAAACAAATAAGTCCAGTACCGTCCAGACCACCGAAGTACTATCTGTACTCGTATGGACATGTATCGTCGCATTGAGCTGAAGTACTGGATCGGATATCGCTGACGGAGAAACCTTGATTGATTGCCATGCTGCTGCCTTCGTCCCAGATTCAAATTCGCCTTGCGTTTTTGTAACCAGCCCTGCAGACAGGACACCCTGCTGAGGCAGCACCACATGGCTGGGCGCCTACGTAATTTTGACTGTTCCTCTCTTTACCCTGACATGGATCGAGATTTAGGGTACAGGCAGGCGAGTTAATTAACCACTCCCAGCTAACCCCTCCCCCAGCCTATCGCTTTCGAAAGGCTGTGATCGTTACGCCTCCCCCACATAGCCAAGGCAGATATTGGGCGATGGCTGACAGCCGATGTGAAGTAGTCTAAGCGGACAGCGATCCATTGTCGCCGAATGACCAGATAGCTGGTGGTCAGTAATGATATGACCCAAGCTTGGCCGGATCTTCCGACTGTCTGTCTGGTTCATCGCTCCGTAGTTTACTTCCATGTCCGAACCCCATGAAACTCGGGATATTATTTTAGGGGGCCAAAAGTCCGTTCTTATCCCCGGGAACCGAGGCAAGGCGAAAAGGGAGGGAAGAGGGGAAGGAAGGTGGAAGGCTGAGTGAGCATAGTACAGAACGTACGTTCGTATTTTTGGCACGCACGCTGGCTGCTGGGTGGCAACTTTTCCCTGCTGCCACGCTCTCTGTCGCTCTCCCTTTGCCCCCTTCTCCAGTGGTTGCAGACTTACAGTACATACTACGGAGTACATCCAGCTGCAAGCCTGCAACCCCTGCTCGAAAATGGGCGAGGTCGGCAATTATGGTCCGAGAGCGAAGAACTAAAAGCCGAGAGAGTCTAGATTAATAATATACAAGTTGGGAATCACTAACTACTACCTAGTAGTAAACTACGTACACCGTAACCTAATTTTAGGTAGCGTTAATGCTGCCTGCCTGGCAGGTGATTGTTTCGCGAGGGAGTTCCGTAAAGCCAAAAAAAAAGGGACCGAACGAACCAGGGTAATGATCTGTTTTGGTATTGTAACCGTATCAGATCATCAGAGATCAGATCATATCATATCGCATCATGATATCAATCACGCCAGGTTATACAGAATGTGCGGGTTGCTTTTTCCCCAACCCTCCCCCCCTTCCCCCCCTCGGTTCTGTTTCATTTTCTGACAAAAAGGCTCCAATCACGCCATGACCTGGCGGATCGACTAACAGACAATAGAAATGTCAATCAGTCTGGATTGGAATAGATCTAAGGATTTTTCTTCTTTTGGTGTCTGATCTCGGACGAGTCCGTCTACCGGTAGAAGCTATCTACGTAGTTATCTGACCGTGGACCGTGGACAAGATAATCAGTTGCCTAGATCAGCAGGTGCAGATGTACCTAATTCGGAAGATAGTACGGAATACGGAGTAGATTGAAACAGGCGGGAAGCTAGACCTGGCACCTACTATCGACGCTTGAAGCATCTATGTATACGGAGTACTAGGCATGATGAGCAAATGTTGATTTCATAGCAGGTACCTATCACAATCCCGATCGGCTGGGAAAGGAATCCAGGAAAAACAAAAGCAAGATTATCAGAGTAGGAGGCATGGTGTTTCCCTGGACTGATTAATCTGAATAATAATACCAGTAAACATCAATGATCGCAACCCGCCTGGGCTGGAACGGGATTGATTATCTCTTCGTCCGGGCAAATCGGAATATGTCAGTCTAGAGGCCATCCAAAAGGTCCGTACGTAGCTTGGTCTAGTCTACCTGTAGACTGACGACTAAAGGATAGATCCAATCATCCAACCATTCATCGGTTCAGCCCCGTCGCCTCGGGTGAGATAACGACAATTCCGGTGGGTTTTTAAGGAGAAACGTCGGGAGTGTTGCTAGTCCGGACTCTTATGCAGCCAACCTAGTTCTCACTAGTCCGGATGTCTAAGCGGCAGACGAGTGAACTACGTATTTGTCCGTCTCATTTTCTGCGTTTTTCTCTGTTCCTTTGGTTTATTTCTGGTTTCCCCATTGGTTTGATACATAAGTTTCGTTTTCGGTCTAGGCTCAAAATGAAAAAACTCACCCACTGCCGAGTGAGTAGAATAGCGCGACGACCAGCATGATAGGTAGAAGCTCGGAAGACCGAAATGGAATCTCCGGCAGAGCCAATGAGGGCGCGAAGAATCTGGCTGACTTGAGGAGGAAATGCGGCGAAGGCCAATCGCCACTCGTGGAATAAGGCTTATTCCACAATCTCGGCGCTAGCGACCGAAGAGGAAGGCAGCAGCCCCGCCGGCCCAGCGCACTAAGCCGTGTTTGGCTAGGTGGAGCCGAATGATTCGATCTGGGGACAAGCTTGCGAGATGAATTGGCCGGAATGGAAAACAAAACGGCCATCAGGGTAAAAAAAAAAAAAGGTCAGAAGGGAGCAAACTTCCCTATTGCCAATCCATGCACAAACCAAAAAAGTCACCCACATTTTCTGATCAGTCCAAATGCCACGGTGGTGCTGACCATCTGATTCTTTTTCCATCCTGTCGGGTTTACCCACTGTCCTTTCGTCTCTGCAGGGTGTTCTCCCAAAAGCAAAAGCTACTTTCCCAGAAGAACAGGACTGGACTTTTATCGTTCGACACACTCTAGTACAGAAAGGGAACTCCCACCCCCCGGTCGTAGATCCCCCTGGGAGATCGATAACGAAAGGGCGGCGACTAGTTGTGATAAGACCACTCTGCTGGGTGTGAGTGACAGCCAGCCAGCTCTTCACACCACCGCGTTCCGATATCCCCAAACGAGCAAAGCAAATTACACAGCATTTCGGAACAAAATACCTTACTTCCAAAACAAAGAAAAAGAAGAAGGCCAAAAAAAAAAGAACCGAAGAAAAAGAGTCAGAAGCAGAACAAAAAGGAAAATTTCCATCCTGGTAAGTAACATGGTAATCGTTTCCCCGAGCAGTCTGGCCCCTCTCCCTCCCTCGCTCTCTCGCTCTGCCGGGGGTTATCAGTCTCCGGTCATCATCATTAGTTAGCATCATCATCATCATCAGCATCATCAGCCATCCGCCATCAAGCCATCAGCCCCAAACAACTTCAACTGTCTTCCATCTTATACCCACTTTTTCTTTCCCCTTCTCTTTCACTTCTTCTGTTTATCAATCTGGCCCCTCGGATCAAATCATATCTCCCCTGATTCTTCTTCCCCTTTCCCTTGGAACTCTTTCCTACCCTCACTCTTCCCCCCCCCCTTCCTTTGACTCTACTCTTCCCTGCCTCTCTAGTCTCCCTCCTCTCCCTCCCTCCATCATATCTGATCCGACATTCCATCGCCTTGTATTGGTCGCCCTTCACCTGCCGATCTTTCCCTCTGCCCTCCGCGTTATCCCCTAAACGATCGATCTATCCCTCCCATCGTCTTGGACCCTGTCCTTCAGCCTTCTCCATTCCCATCTGCCTAATCGTCTCTTTCATCCCCCCCTCTACACCTGGGTTTCAAACTTCACTCTTTCAACATCAAACCTCGTGACTCCTTCTTACCCGTTGTTCCCTTCCAGAATATACGCCTCGAGCCACACATCATCCGACGCCACGGCTACATCGCCACTCTGACTACTTCCGTCGTCCTCGGATAAGACCAACCGTAGGACTTTTCGTGGCCCATCTGTTGCTCTCAGGATCTCCATCTGTTCACTGCTTGCTGATCCTGTCGTGCTTCGACGTCTGATCGTTCGCCCTTTCTTCTCTTGCAGCATTCTTGCTCCTGTTATCAAGGATCTTCGTCTCCTTCGACTTTCCCGGCTCCAGTCCCCAGCTGGCTGACATTTCCAGCCGGCCGGCCTTTTCTGACCTTTCTTTTCTTTTTCTTCTGCACTGTCATCTTGACCGACTTTTGGCCTGGTGGTACAATACGTTTTTCTCCCCGACTGTGGTGCGACATACGTTACGACAAGCCCTTGCTCTACATCTCGATACCGATCCTCCTCAAGTGACTGACCGCGGCCTCTTGATACGATCTCAGGTGCGTGTTGTTGGGAGACCGGAGGCGCGAGGGAATAGCTTCACCATATACCGATCATGTTAGCGTCAATCTCGCAAATGGAGTCGGTGCGTTCGCTTCCTCGAACTCCCGACATGGTTACGCGGCATCCGTCAGCCGAGGACCTGGACGCAGCGCAACAGTTGGTTTCATCTGCCCAGGCTGGTCGTGAACATCTTGCCGATCGTACTCGTGACGACGACGCATCGAGGAGACCGGAAGGAACCGTTCCTCAAACCTCCTACGACCCAGAACGCTCCCTCCCTTCCGTCAAGTCCCTCTCAGAGGTGCCTCCCAGTCATCTGCCGTTGGAGAAACAGTCGCCGAAGTCACAGAAGGATGCCGCTGTATTTGGTCATTCCTGCAGGTAGGTGCAGCTTCAAATCCTTGTTGCGCGATTATTCATGTGTTTTACTAACGCTGGCGGCCTCTCCCCAGTAATTGCGGAACCAAGAGTACCCCATTATGGCGACGATCACCGACTGGGGCGATGATTTGCAATGCGTGTGGGCTCTACCTGAAGGCTCGGAATGTTGCTCGACCAACCAAGCGGAACCGCGTACAGACGAGCGCTGAGCCTGGTCAACCTCCTCAGCCGCAACAACAGCAATTGCCAATCCCTCCCCAACATGAGACGCATGCACCACATACCGAGGGCGGCTGTCACGGGTCCAAAGGGTCGTGCCCTGGTGGGGGTAGCTGTAATGGCACAGGCGGTGCGGAGGGGTGTGATGGGTGCCCAGCCTATAATAATCGGGTTTACAAATCAACGGCGAGAGGCACCGTCCCCGTACATGCCTGGAATCGGGCGCCAACTGTCGAGAGCGAGAAGCCTCCCCCGCTACAGGAGCCTTTGGACACTCCTGGAAAGACCACGACGACGGGTGAGGGAAACATGCTGGTGTCGTGTCAGAACTGTGGAACCACGGTAACCCCGCTTTGGCGGCGCGATGAGAATGGCCATCCAATCTGTAACGCATGTGGTATGATACTTTCCTTATCTCGAAAGATGTGTAATTCGAATGTTAACCGGTTTTGTTTGCAGGACTGTATTTCAAGTTGCACGGTTGTTATCGCCCCACCACAATGAAGAAGACGATCATTAAACGACGAAAGCGCGTCGTGCCCGCCTTGCGGGAACACTCGCCGACCGCCGCAACACACTCATCGAACGGCTCTTCCGCATCGCCTGAGGCCTCCCCTGCCGCTTTGGCTTACGCTCACGACGATCATCACCGATATTACAGTTCTGAGCCGATGGAGCACTATGCCAGCATGCCTGCGGA